CCTCGGTCCACAAGAACTGACAAAGACTCATTCCCTTGTAGCTACACAAAGATAAGAACAGCCTTAACTTAAGATAATAAAAAGCAAGAATCTAACTATTGCAATATCATGAATTACAGAACCTGAAACCGGGAACTTCATACCAAGTTTAAGCAGTTCCACTCTTCAGTAATAAAGATAATTAATTCTCATAAAGATATTAAGCTCTTAGATACTATTTAAGTCCAAGGAGGAATATATTAGAGTTTTATGAGAAATTCTGAATCTTGAGTTAATTAGACTTGACAAAAATTGATAAATTTTTACTAGAGACTAGTGAAATTATGATAGATTCTGAGCCAAATAAATACACACAAATATATATATATTATATATATAAGTTGAGGCAGGATTTGTTTTACTGAAAATTTCCAGTACCTAACATTTTCATAACAATTAAATATTTGTTAAATCAAAGATAAATAGTATCATTTATGCTAAACCTTTATAACTTTTAAAAATTTTGTTTTATAGTGTTCTAAAGTAAATGACTTCTTTTGGAGGAAATTATTACTGGCTGGAAATAAGATTAGTTCAGGAATTTTTCAGGAGATCTCATCACTAGAATACTTTAATTTTAAGATCTCATTACACAGGTACCACCGAATTCAATAGGTCTCTGAGGACAATAATTAACAACTTAGCTAGAAGATTCAGTTGAATATTCATAAAGGGCAAATGTTATACCCAGATATATTATATAAAAATACAGTATCTTTTCTGTTATGACACCACCAATAGCAATGAAGACCAGTGATTTAATAATAGCTCTTAGAGCAAAAAGTAATCATTTATTAATTATAGCTAAAAAAAGAAAAAATATTACCCAACCATAGAATATTCATAAAATATGAAACTTTATTCCTAAATAAAACAAAGCTTGAATCTAAGATTTCTTCATATATGTACCTTTAAAAATACTTCTGAATGCTTTTTAGCCACTGCAAAAGAATAAAGGCTCCATGTAGCTTTTTATAGCATATGATTGGAATCTCGACCTCCTAGTATCATTAGGACCACTATTAGGGCATTAGTGTCGTTAGGTCAGCCATTAAAATTCTAAGTTTTATAAAATATAACAAGGCTATCATATCCAGTATCAGTAAGCAAGACATTTCAAATTAACCACGCAACCCCCAAAGAAGTAAAATGTTGGACAAAATTTGAAAAAACAGAAAAAACATTGAAGAACTAAAGAGAGAACTAGAGATAACTGAACCAAGATACAGTACAATAAGGAAAGAAGCCAATCATAAAGATTTGATCAAGAGATTAAGGAGTATTTTAAAATCTAAGGGCCCCCAAAATAAAGAAACCTTGGTGAGATAGAATTCATCTCAAATTTTCCTCTTCTGTGGAATTTTATCACCTTAAAATAAATAGCATATTAAATAAGGAATTTATAAACCTGCATCCACTGTTTGATACATATTCCTGGTTATTTTCAAGTAAAATGTTTCAAAATATTAAAAGATAATTTCTAGTAGCTCTTTTGAGATTCTCAATATATTTTAGCCAGTTAGTAATTTTCTTCTGTAGTGCTAAAAAGTCAGTTCCTGACTTACTTTATACTCAGTACTAGATATGTGGTATATGCTTAAATAAATACTTCCTGCCTATATCGTTCTGCCAAAAATAGAAAATGAGAAAAAATGATATTAGATTTTCCTCTGATGCATATTTCAATAAATGTGTTAGGACTTATTCATGAGTTTCAAAAATATATTATGCCAGTAAACCTTTGTGCAAAGGCACTTTGTAAGATACAATTGAAATTTGCAAAAATACTTTATCTTAAACTTTTGATTGCATTATGATCTATTACAACTTTTCCACAGTGTAGGTAATATTAAGTTTTTTTTTTTCCTAGGCAAATAGTCTCTAGAGTTTGATATCGATCAAAGATAAAGCCTGATACATAAATAATGTCAGTGACTTCAAACATCAAGCTAACATTTCAGGCTGGATATGTAAAAACCTCCGAGCTGCCATCTTCTTTCTGAAATCAACCAAAAGCAAGGACAAAAAGGAAGTAAAGTGGAAATGTCATTTTATAACAAAACCCTTTGACACTAAAATTCAAAATAAAGGAAAAAGGGCTACTGAGTGGAATGCACCTTGGACCAAGGTAATGGAAAAAAGGAAAAAGGAGACAAGCTGTTCACCACTGAAAAGCTCAGGTAGGGAGGAAATTAAAACCAACAACCCTAGTTTGGACCACCTACAACAGAAGGGATGGAACCAGTTACAAGAGCTTTCTGCTACCTTGTTGGAAAATGAATTTGCAGGGGAAATAGAACTGAAGAAATAGACACATTCTTTGTAACTACTGCAGCAAGACAGAGAAGAAGCCCTGAGTAAATCACTATACCTACCATCCCAATCTTGGTCAAGGGCACATACACACATACACACACACACACACACACACACACACACAATTTTTTATTCTATAGAGTTCCACTGAAAACCAGGGAGATTTCCTGCTAGCCCAGACTAAGTCTGGTTCCTGTTCTATACCATCTGTTCTATAGTAGCTAACTGAAAAGAATTCCAGTCATTAAAAAGTAATAATTAATTTATAATAATAGCCAGCACTAGAAATAAGAAAAACAACTTTAAACAGGAAGGTCACTATCATATAAGTGTGTTTGAGGAAAGGGGACATATGTATACCTATGGTTAATTCGTGTTGATGTATGACAGAAGTCAAACCAATATTGTAAACCAATCATCAATCAATTAAAAATAAATAATTCTTTTTAAATTGCACACACACATACATAGCACATATACAACTTTCTAATACTTCTTGTAATCCCAAAGAAAACAGGTAAAGACATTAAAATTTCCTGTGTGTTCAAGTTTTCCATAAACTCTTGTCCTGACTTTTCTTTCTAACAGCAAAAAAAAAAAAAAAAAATCAGTAGATAAACTCAATGGTACTCTCTGACAGACCAATGGACCAAGCCCAAAAGCCGTCCAACAGATAACATAAAAGCTAAACGTTTAATAGAAGTGACATTGACAGTATGTGAATGAGAGGGGAATTATTCAGTAAATTGTATGCAAACAATTTTATAGAGGAAAAACGAAATCAGAATCTTACATAATCTTTCATACGAAGATCAATGCCAGATTAATTAGAGATTTAAACATGAATGTCAAAGTTACAAAATATTTCAGAACAAAAAGTGAAATATCTCTGTTACCTGGTGGTTAAGAAGAAATTTTTCAAACAAAAAGAAAATTTTCTTTTTTCAGACAAAAAACAAATTGCAAAGGAAAAGACTAATATATGTCTTCATTGAAATTAAAATTATGCTTATCCAAAATATTATAACAAGAGTGACTACATAACCCACAAGCTGTCAGAAATTAAATACACCATAATAATTGAAAAAAGGTTAGTGAAGACAGAGAGAATGCCTTCTAGATGTCAGGCGAGTATATGCTCCTCGGTTCTGTCTCGTCACAACAAAGATTTGGAATGACGGATATTAAAGCCCACCTCAGTGTGTCACAGCTCTCGGGCCTTGGACAGACCGTGTTATAGCTCTTAGACAAATCAGAGTTACAGTTCAGTGTTACAGCTCTATTTTATTTAGATAATAGCAGGAAAATGCATCTTTGAGGCGTGAGGGCATGTCGACCCAAAGACACAAAGAGAAGAACGCCCCAGCGTGAGGGAGAGAGAGAACGGGCCCTTTGGCTCCTCTATTTATATGTTTTTTTCTTCCCCCGGGCCTGCCCTATGCAAATTGAACTTGGCCAGGAGTGCTGTTCTACCTGAAGTCCTCACTCTGGTCCTTGGACCTTCCTTTGACCTTCTTCTGTTCTATTTATGCGGGCTTTTCCCTTCCTTGTCTTTTAGCCACCACCTATTTTGGACTCCTGTTTTCTATTCTAACTACCTAGCAAAGTCAATGTGAAAATTGAAATTAAACCAGTAGAAAAATTGGGGGGGAATTTAAGTACCGGCAACTCTAGCCACTTAAATGAAAAGAAGATAAAAATGGAAATAAAGACTTTAAAGGTATGCTCTGTTGCTTAGCTGTGTCTGACTCTTTGTGACCCCATGGACCCTGGCCCACCAGGCTCCTCTGTCCTTGGAACTCTCCAGGCAAGAATACTGGAGTGGGTTGCCATTTCCTTCTCCAAGGTATCTTCCCAACTTAGGGATCCAACCAAAATCTCCTGCATCTCCTGAATTACCAGGCATATTCTTTACTACTAGCACCGTGTAGGAAGCCCTCATCAATCATCAGGGAAATCCAAACTATAACCAAAGTTCAGAGTGAGATACCATTTTATTCTAATTATAATAAAACAAACTTTTTTTTCTTTAATGTATGGCATCAGTGCTGGCAAGACTGTAAGACCCTGAGAACTAGCATGCACTACTGATGAGACTGTGAAAAGATACAACCATTTTGGAAGGCAATTTCAAATTTTCTAAAGTCAAGTCCAATTCTTTTGCAACTCCACGGACTGTAGCCTGCCATGCTCCCCTTTCCATGGGATTTCCCAAGCAAGAATACTGGAGTGGATTGCCATTTCCTTTTCCAAGGGATCTTCCCAACCCAGGAACTGAAACTGTGTGTCCTGCAGATTCTTTACCACTGAACAACCAGTGAAGCCTACAGCACCAAAAATGAGTTGAGACTCATATAATGTAGAATAACTTTAAAAATAGACACATTTTTTTAAAAGTTTGAAATAATAATATACTATTATTATACTCTCACTATACTTGAGAGTGTTCTCCTAGTGCTGAAGGCTTACATTGGGATCTTTCCAGGGTAATGGTTTTAATAGTAATGTTGGAGACACTTGGTGAACTTTCAGTCATGGAGCTGCTCCCCTAAGCTAAATTGCAATAAACTCTCAGATCCTCTAGAAGCAAGATCTATTTACATGTGATTTCAAATTCTACCCCCAGGTACCTATGCGCACTGTGATCAAGCCCAGACTCTGAGGGTATGATCTCATGATCCTGAGCAAAAGGCAGCCCCATTAAGGGAAACACATAGAGTACTAACATGGTTTTCATGTTCAAACAAGAGGTAACTGGGGACCCCTTGAGGACATCCCCGACGTTGATGGTATAATCGTTGTATCCAGCAGGATACACTGAGGGAGAAGTCCACGCTGGAAGCTGCCCAGAGGTGGTAGAGGCAGCAGCCACATCTGATCCCGAAGCAAAGGCATCTCCACCCAGATTAGTATCAGACACTGGTGATGTCAGATTCTTGTGTTTGAAAGGCCTGCATGCACTGTCCAGGGCGCAGGTCCCACCCAACGGCGTTCTTGTCACATCCCCCGAATAAGAAGGTGGTCCAGGTCTCTGAGGGGGCCAGGTCCAAACAGAGCACGCACTCCCATGCCCATGGAAAGCTCTGCAGCAGAGTCCTGTGAAGAGGGACATGGGAACAGTTTCCTCTCCTGCACCCCCTCTTTAGTTCTCCAAGACCGAACTTGCTCCCCCTGCAGGCTGGCCCGTCATCACCCAGGCCCCTGATTTACCTGCATGTCAGAATTGGTGAAGCTGCAGGCTGACAGGTAGTTGGTGTGCATAGCAACAGACTTCTTTTTGGCAGCCATGTTTTCATTTTTGTCAAATGTCAGAGGATACACAGAACATTTATTATCCAAACCACTAGCAGAAAAAGACAGAAGGGTCAAATGTTAATACAGGGCAATAGAACATGTGTATACTGTCTCATTCACACACACTTTCAAAAATGTTTTCCTTTGGCAGTATTATATGTTGTAACCTATCCCTAAACTTTTACTTTGAATATTTTTAAATGGATAGTAAAACTGAAAGAAAAATAGTACAACGAACTCCCAGATCCCTTCACATGGATTCGCTAACTTAACATTTTGTCGCATTTGTGGGAGCAAATTCTGAACCGTCTGAATGCAAGTTGCAGATATGACATACTACGTCTAAATACTTCAATCTGCAAATTACATCTCCTAAAAATAAGACCATTCCTTTATAATCACTAACTCATTATCACATCTGAAAAAACTAACAAAAATTCTGTAACACCATGTAGTAAGCCATCCATATTCAATTTCCCAACTGTCTCAAGGATCCAAAGCCCAAATAGGTCTCCACATTACATTCTGTTTTTATATCTTTTTAAGATCTTTTAATGGAGAAGGAAATGGCAACCCCCTCCAGCATTCTTGCTGGAGAATCCCAGGGACAAGAGGAGCCTGGGGGGCTGCAGTCCACGGGGTCGCAAAGAGTCGGACACGACTGAGCGACTAAACAACAACAAGATCTTTTAATGGAGGACGGACACAGATTTTGACTGTTTATAATGAGAGATGTCACTAGGTCAGTTGTCTTACAGAATGTCCCACAGTCTGGATTTGTCGTGTTGGGCATGGCTACCCACTCCAGTATTCTTGCCTGGAGAATTCCATGCACAGAGGAGGCTGGTGGGTACAGTCCATGGAGTCACAAAGAGCTGGACAGGGCAGAGCCACTAACACTTTCACTTTTATTAATGTTACATTTAAGTATAACATTTTTAGCAACAATACAAATGTGATATATAAAGGTGACACTGTGTATTTCTTTCTTATTGCTTCACGTTAGGAGGCTTGCCATGCCTCTCAGCCCAAGATTGGTGGTGCCAACTTTGATTACTTGGTCAAAGTGGGGACCACAAGATCTTTCCACAATAAGGGTGACTTGCTGGTGATTACAAGCATACCTTGTTTTACTGCGTTTTGCTTTATTGCATTTTTTACAAATTGAAGGTTTGTGGCAACCCTACCTCAAGCAAGTCTATCAGTGTAATTTTTCCAACAGCAATTTGCTCACTTCATGTCTCTGTGTCACGTTTTGGTAATTCTCACAATATTACAAACTTTTTCATTGTTATTACATTTTTTATAGTAATCAGTGATCTCTGATGTTACTATTGTAATGGTTTAGGAATGCCACAAATTGTGCCCATTTACAATGGTGAACTTAATCGATAAATGCCATATGTGTTCTGACTGCTCCACCGCTCAGCTGTTCCTCCATCTCTCTTCTTCCCCTCAGGCCTCCCTATTTTCTGAGACACAGCAATAATGAAATTAGGCCAATTATTAACCCTACAACGGCCTCCAAGTGTTTAAGTGAAAGGAAGCGCTGCAAGTCTCTCACTAAATCAAAAGCCAGAAATGATCAAACTTAGTGAGGAAGGCATGTCAAAGTGTTAAGATCCATTACTATCATCATGTCATGTGATGCTGAAATTATCCGAAATTTGGACACTGAGGGTCCCTTCAAGTGGGTCTTGTTTTCCATTTTATATGACTCCACTGATATGACTGAATGTTCCCTTGCTTCCTGGAACAAGGAAACACCTTCAGCTTGCTTTATTCTCTTCCTGCCCAGACTGACTCCAAGGAGCCCTGCTTCTATTTAGTGGGGAATGACATTTGGGAGGGGTACTCTCTTCTGAGGCCCTGTGCCTTTCTAATTGCTTGGAGGTACAGGTGTAGGGCTGGCTAGTTTATGACCAGTGACTGGCCTTGGCAAGCTTGTTTATAGATCATGTGGGTGAGAATGATTGGCACCTGGCTGTGACAACAGACAAGCATGCTCCAGACTGGGCTTCTCTAACCCTCGAGGTGAAACATGTTCTCCTATTCTGAAGCTTCAGGGTCACTGCTGTAGCTCTGTTGGGATACTCACACTTAGGATTAGTTGTAATGCTATGCGAAGCAGAAAAGTTCTGCAGTGTGATGCAAGGAGGAAGGCCATGTGACTTCACAGGAAGGGGATGACCGGATGCTCCACGTTTAGACCCCTCCTGGACTGTGCCCTGTGCATCTCCTCCTTTGGCTGGTTCTAATTTGTATCCTTTCACTGTGATGAAACTGTGAGCGTTAAGTATAGCACTTTCCTGAGTTCCAGTTAATTACTGAGCCTGATGGTAATTTTTGGGTATGACCCTGTGCCTATGTGAAGTTGAGGGGAGTCCAGTGGGGTTTATGCCGTGTAACTGCTGAGCTGTCCAAACTCCTTCACACCTACCTTATAACTGTGTCATATGTATATAAATGTGTTAAACATGTATGTGTGTTCACATCTATATTTATATCTATATCTTTTATTGTGGTCACTTCATATCCTTTTAGGAAGTACATGGGTATACAGTTTATATAAATATTGCCATCCAGTTATAAAATGATACAATCTACTTTTGAGTTATTTAAAAAATGGGAAAATATGAAAAAAAAAGGGAAAATATGAAATGCATGTATGTAAGCAGGGTCTCCAGAGGGATCTCAGCAAGTGGAGAAAGTGGGAAGTTGCCTCAAAACAACGGTCTAAACAGAGAAGATGTGGGGAGTGATGGCTGGGGTGACCCTGGCTAGAGAAGGCTCCAAAGTTTTTGCTTGGAGGTCCAGCATTTTCATATTTGAAACAATATGATTATTTTCTCTTGATTATAAAAATAACATATGATTTAAAAAAACCAAAAATAGACAAAATTGTGACAAAGAGAAAAACACCAAAGTCTCAACATCCAGGAGAACTACAATTGCATTTTGGTGTAGTTCATCACAGCCTTTATGCTGACACTTCTTCTCTAAATATGGCTGAGCTCTTACTATAGAAATACTTTGAATGGTCCAGAATTAACACAAGGACAGGAAATTATCATGGTTGCAATTCTCACTGCCAACTCTGTTAAACTGAGCACAAGAAAAACAGATTAAGGCACAATATTCCTATTAATCTTGATGCTCTTTTCACTCACTGTCATTAAGAATTTCCTTTTTAACAGCTGCATAATATTCCATTCAATTCATGTACCACCATTCACTTAATTTCCTTTGGTGCACATATTGTTCCCCTTTTTGCTTTATTTTAAATAACAATACAATAAATGTTATTGCTCATATGTTTTCTTCTATATTTCTTTCTTTCAAACAAGTTCTTAAATGTGGAATCACTAGATCAATGGTCATAAATTTTTCAAGGCTTTGAATACATATTACCAACATGCTTTCCAAAGTATCTGCACAAATTTGTGGTCCCTGCCAACAGCATCTGAGAGCGGAGAGAATAGATTTTAAACTTATACTCATGTCAATCTGTAATGAAAATAAATTATGAAAGACATTCTGCAGTTTTTTTCCTTGATAAAATTCAAGGAGGATTACACAGTGCTTAAGTAATCAACAAAAATTACAAGTTCTTATCTGCATGTTTTGTTAATAGAACAGTGTTTTATGGCTAACAGGACATATGAAAGGCTGCTGTCTCCCCTACTTACCCACATGCAATGGCACATCCCGATGGGGCATATGCACATGCCATCACCCATGTGCAGGGCATTGTGACTGCATGCTCCTGAAACATAGCACACACCGTGCTTAGAATAAATGAGGGCGCTTCTACACAAATGTCAGCTTTTAACAAGTAAAACTGTTGAGGCATCTACCAAATTACATTCCAGTTTCAAAGGGGTTGAGACTGGTGAGGAGACTCAGCTCTCCAATAATCATCCAAACCTTGTATCATATATTCTACAAGTTAAAAATCTCACCTAGCAAAAAAATATCCTTAACATCTTTCTTACTGCTATACTCCTCCTGTTGCTCTGAATGAATACTGGGGCTCATTTTTTTTTAAAAAGACTATCCAAATTTCATTTCAGATATATATGTGTGTGTGTGTGTGTGCTACTCAGGTGTTATTTTTGAAACAAACTCTTAAAAACACACTCGACTTTTTATATGTGTAAGTTTGTTTACTTGCCTCTGTCCCCTGTGGGTCCTAAACCATTCCAGGCAGGAATGTGGGTGAGGGTGCGGAGGGGGAGTGGAGGGAGAAAAGGGAACCAGCAAAATGGAAGCATTAAGAGGACATGAAAGTCCTCGGATTCTGGCTGGGGTCTGAGTCACCCATATTCTCCTGCATATACAGATAAGCAACCAAGGCACCCTTAAAAAACTTTTGAGTCTGTGGCCTTATTTCCCTGGGAGCCATGGGACCTGGTCCCGGTCCTGACACCAGTGATATGTGCAGCCTCACGCAGGCTGGCCATCTGTCCTACCTCAGTTTCCCTCTCCACCTGGCAAGGGAGAAGACGGGACTAGACGGTTTCTAAAGTACATTCAAGTGCTGGTCTTCTTTCCTGTTATGATCCTCTGTGTTTTTTTTTTTTTTTCCATTTATTTTTATTAGTTGGGGGCTAATTACTTTACATCATTACAGTAGTTTTTGTCATACATTGAAATGAATTAGCCATGGTTTTACATGTATTCCCCATCCCAGTCCCCCCTCCCACCTCCCTCTCCACCCGATCCCTCTGGGTCTTCCCAGTGCACCAGGCCCGAGCACTTGTCTCATGCATCCAACCTGGGCTGGTGATCTGTTTCACCCTAGATAATATACATGTTTCAATGCTGTTCTCTTGAAACATCCCACCCTCGCCTTCTCCCAGAGTCCACAAGTCTGTTCTATACATCTGAGTCTCTTTTTCTGTTTTGCATATAGGGTTATCGTTACCATCTTTCTAAATTCCATATATATGTGTTAGTATACTGTAATGGTCTTTATCTTTCTGGCTTACTTCACTCTGTATAATGGGCTCCAGTTTCATCCATCTCATTAGAACTGATTCAAATGAATTCTTTTTAATGGCTGAGTAATATTCCATGGTGTATATGTACCACAGCTTCCTCATCCATTCGTCTGCTGATGGGCATCTAGGTTGCTTCCATGTCCTGGCTATTATAAACAGTGCTGCGATGAACATTGGGGTGCACGTGTCTCTTTCAGATCTGGTTTCCTTGGTGTGTATGCCCAGAAGTGGGATTGCTGGGTCATATGGCAGTTCTATTTCCAGCTTTTTAAGAAATCTCCACACTGTTTTCCATAGTGGCTGTACTAATTTGCATTCCCACCAACAGTGTAAGAGGGTTCCCTTTTCTCCACACCCTCTCCAGCATTTATTGCTTGTAGACTTTTGGATAGCAGCCATCCTGACTGGCGTATAATGGTACCTCATTGTGGTTTTGATTTGCATTTCTCTGATAATGAGTGATGTTGAGCATCTTTTCATGTGTTTGTTAGCCATCTGTATGTCTTACTTGGAGAAATGTCTGTTGAGTTCTTTGGTCCATTTTTTGATTGATGATCCTCTGTGTTTTTGTGGGGAGACATTGGCCCTGATACCCCTGTCAAGATTCTGTTGTCACTCCCAGTCTGGCAGCCCTTTGGACACCATGAATAGCCTCAGGGTGTCACCAAGGAGGTGAGGTGGGCACTCTCAGCACAGGGCATCCAGCCCTTCTGCTGACCAGCAGTGACTGCGTGCCCTGCCAGGGGCCTCCAGTGGCAACACCACAGCTCCCCAGAAGACAGGCAGCATGCGCTTTCCACCATGCTAAGTCTTAACTGGAAGGATCCCCACTCCCCTACTCCTGAAGATGCTGAGGAGTGCTGGGAGAGGCAGAGTGACATACAGGGAGCCCTCTGCAAACTGCTATATTGTCATTTTTGTTATTCCCCAGGGGTGGGACCATTTAGGACTTTGCTCTACAAGATGGTTCTTGACCAGACCAACTGCCTGTTATGACATCTATTGAACATTTTCAATAATGCACAATAAGGATGCTGTTGAGACAGATATGGGTTTTCTTTTTTATACAGTGAAAGGAAGCCTGTCTTTCTAAGTAAATATTGGAGTCCATATTTAATATATAGTACTTGTTACCATAAATGCCAACACAATGCAGGCACGCAGGCTCACCTACACACAGATTCTGCCCTTTCCGTTTAGTTAATAGTCTAAACTTAGGTCTCATTTGGAGCAGTGCATGTCTACACCAGACTTGCAAGGGGCTCAGGCTCCATGGCACCTCCATGAAGTGCAGTTTAATCCCACTGAAGTCTCAGCTCCCCCCCCACCATGGGGTCTAGTGGGAGAGAGAAGTGGAAGAGAAGACTGGGGATTTGGTATCTCTTCTCATCAATCAGAAGAAAAATCATCAATGCAGTAGCAAGTGTGAATGTGACACATTTCTGGGCCACACTCTTTTCTGTTTCCATGTCAGCAGCCTCCATGTTAGCCCTGCATGCTCTTCTCTCGGCCAAGGGCTGGACTTGAGAGGAGTGAATGCTACAGCGGGCTGCTGAGCCATCTGAACACAGATGGGCTTCCGTGGAGTGTACACCCCAAGTAGGCTCCTGAGGGGCAGGGCAACCACTAGTGCGATGCTTGGAGAGGATGAGGACAGGACTGGGATTGTGAAGTGCCTCAGTCCGCCGGGGACAAGGCCTTACCTTGTTAGTGGTGAAGGAATCCCACACGATCACTTTCCCATCCTGGAGGAAAAGAGTAAAGAGTTCAACAAACTAGTGATCACCACTGGGGAGATGGTGGGGGGCGGGGAAGAAGAGGTACAAATTGTTACATTGCTAGATGCCAGGGGTTGGGGGTAGGCTGGGATCCGGAGTGGGGAGTTACCTGTTTAACAGGAAAAGTTTCAGTTTAGGAAAGTGAAAAATTTGGGAGATGGATGAGGGTGAGAGTTGCACAACTGTGTGAGTGTACTTGGGGCCGCTGAATTATAGTTAAATCTGGTTAAAACAGTATGTTTTATGTGACTTTTACCACAATAAAAAACATTTAAAAAAGAGGTACAAGCTGTCATGTATAAAATAAACTACAAGGATATATTGTACAACATACAGAATAGGGCCAATATTTGTAATAACTATAAATGGAGCATACGACCTTTAAAAATTGTACATCATTATAGTGTACACCTGTAACATATACTATTGTGTATCAACTACACTTCATGAGAAACAAAACAAAAAAGTGTAAACAGTTTAAGAATTGTCAACAAGACTTAACAGGTGAACTGCTGAGAACCGCTTGGAAAACCAGAGCAAGTGTCTGGACAATCAAGACCCTACAATGCACCCTTGAGCAAACAGGAATAGATGGGACTACACTTCCCAGGGTGGTGCAAGGCTCAGTTCTAAACCCTGCATCCCTTGCGTAGATACAATGACAAAAAGCAATGCTCAGACACTCTTTTTCTACCATTTATAAACCAAGCACAAACTGCGGGTCAACTCTCATCACCACCATACCCCAAATGTCAGTGAGTTATACCGGGATGAGGTAAACCTGAAATGACCTTCAGATGCCTAACAGTCACTAACAGTCTCCATCTCCTCACCCTCCCCACCAGTCTCTCCTCTCTCCCACTGTCCTTGGCGTCCACATTTCCTGTATGACTGTATAAGAGCCTTACCCCACCCCTGGTCCCCCACCCCGTGTGGAAGCTGTGGAGCAGTTCTGTGGAGCAGTTCTGCATCAATCTGACTTCTCCAGGTGCTCAGGAACATCCCCTATCCTGACATTTCACACCTACCACACCTGTGCCGCAAACATGGGACTCACACCTATGATGGTGGGGACCCCCGTGGGCGGCTGTTCAGGAAACACAGAGCGCTGCCACTTGAGCTGTGGGCTGGCGATGCCATGGACAGTGTGGCTACGTTCACTGCAGCCACTGCTGCGGCCCTCACTGGGGGTGTGGGGAGGGGCTATGATCTCATCCATATAACACAAACTCACCAGAGATAAACCTACACGAGCCCCAGTCCCTACAGAACGTGGTGTGTGGGTGGTCCAGGCCTCCAGGCTGTGGCCAAGTAGATTTCCTCCAGCACATGGGTGGAGGATGTGCAATCCTTAGGGATGGAGAATCTGTAGCCTCTATGGTGGGCTGGATTTTTTATTAATCACTCAAGCCATCTGGAGCCAAATCTGGTGAGGGAGGCGGATGCGACTCAGGGACACCAGCAAGGCCTGATGAACTAAAGTGACACAGCGGCTTGCTTCACTTCATCTGATGCTAAGACCACGCTGCGTGGGGCTGAGGGGTCATGGTCAAGGTCAAAGCCGGCAGCTTGGAGTCTTTCAAGACTCCTAAGCACGTTGGTTCTTCTAGTCTAATTTCTCTGACTAAAGGCCCAAACACAAAGTTTGGGTGGATTAGATAACAGAGCAGAGAAGAGAGCTGTGGGTGGGGTGGGGTCTGGAGCCCCTGCTTGCTGGGGTGGGCGGAGAGACTCGGTGCATCGCCCAAGTCAGCGCTCCCTTCAGAGGCTCCCTTCAGCGCACAGGTGGCCTGCCTGGCCCACCACCCATCCACTGTGCTCCGGAGAGACAGAGGCTCCCATGAGGCTAAAATCAGACTCAGGGCTAAATGTGGTCCCTCCATGAGCACAGATATATACACCAGGGGCCTGTGTACCTGGAGAGACTGAGCCTCCACCCCAAACCCCCACCCACACAGTCAGGCGGATTAATCTCCTGCCTTTTAGGGGAGAAAGGCTGCTCTGAGTCACTCAGAGTCTGTTCCAGGGGCCTTCTGCTGCTCCCCACCTTCCACCCACCCCCAGCCACCTCCAGACACCCTCTGCAGTCCAGGAGGATGGATGGCGTGAGTCAGCGGTGCCCACGCAGCCCTCCTCCCCTCCCTCCCTCTCTAGTAAGAGCAGAACAGAGTGACAGAAACCCAACATATGGTGTTCTTTTAAGGATTAAAAAAAGTCTAAAAGGCTAGGCAGCAACACAGATATCTGAACAACCCCTTTGTAAAATGGAGCATTTGGGGAAAAAAAGCCTAGAAAGAAATGCTCTAAAATAATACCAATTATGATAGGGAGGTAGGAGTAAAAACTTCTCTTTGTTCTCATTTCCAGTAAAATACATAACTAATAAATTAAAAAGCACATGCAGTGTGATGTACTAGATTTGTAGGTAACACAGGAGATTAATAACACCCGTCCTATACTGTACCGACATGGATATTAGAGCTCATGGATTATTTAGAATATGTACCTCCCCAGCGGTTCTGAACCCTGATGGTGAAGAACCTGCCTGCAATGCAGGAGACCCAGATTAGACCCCTGGGTTGGAAAGACCCCCTGGAGAAGGGAATGGCTACCCACTCCAGTATTCTTGCCTGGACAGAGGAGCCTGACGGGCTATAGCCCATAGGGTCGCAAAGAGTCGGACATGACCGACTGACTAACACTTTCACTTTTTTCCCCACAGTTTTAATATTTATAAGGGCTATAAACAAAAATCAAATTTTCCTTTGAAAAAGCTGGACTAAAGGAAGCAGCAGGAGCCAGGGGCTAAACCAGCTAAAAATAGAGATGACCTCAGTGTGTGGTTCAATGCATGAAACACCAATACAGACATAAAAAGCACTAAGCGGTGCAGTCAGCCTCCTGAGAGACATGTCCTTGTCCAGGCCCCTCCCTCGTTACATCGGGGTGGTCTGTGGGACCAGTGGTATACAGCAGAATGGAGGGGATGTCACTGCTGAGGCCAGGTCATCAAACACAGCATGGCTTCTGCTTCTGTCTCCTTCTGTCACTGTGGGAGGCCAGCTACCGCATCATGAGCAGACCAATGGAGAGGTCCACACAGTGAGGAGCTAAGGCCTCCAGCCAAGAGCCAAGTGAGCGGGCCATCTTGGAAATGAGCTTCTGCCTTAGCTGAGCTGTTGAATGACTGCATCCCCGACCAATGTATTGACTGGAACCTTGTGAGACACCCTGAGCCAGAACCATCCCGCTGAGCTGCCCCTGATTCCTCACTCTCAGGAACCATGTAAGATACCAAATATTCACTGATGAACTTGGGGGAAATTTGTCATGCAGCAGTTTAATAAGTAATACATAGGATGCAAAATCAATGATGTGACCTATATAAGCTGAATGACAAAAATTATATTTCACAAAATACATAGTTTAAATGTGTTACTTAAGGTGTAAAAACTGCTAAACTCTTAAGCTGAAAGTAGCCACGGTGGCACTTCACTTTTGCCCTCAACTTGGGGGAGAAAAACATCCTAATTAAAAAATGGCTTCCCTTACAAATAAGACCATGAAATATGCTCAGGAAGAAAAACTTTTGAATGGTTTGTCAAACAGAGTTTATAACATTTTAGTTACTGCCAACTGCAAATCTACCCAAATTAGTTAAGTTATCAAGCATGCCAGAGAATTCTTAACGAGGTAACTTGTTCCCTTTGGCAAACAGGCAGAGTCATAAGGTTTTTGAAAAGGATGGCTGAGAGGGTTTTTGAAAAGGATGGCTCCTTCCCTTCAGCTTTACAATCAGAAGCATGCCCACCATCGCCCGACAGGTGTGACGTACCTGAGAGGAGCTCACGAGCCTCCTCTTATCCTTGCACCAGTCCATGCACAGAACCTTGTTCCCGTGGCCTTTGAGGGTCCTTCTGGTCTTCATGACAAACTGCCCCAGGGCCTCCACGCGCTCGGCCACCTGGTGCACTGCAAGGACAAGGCGCACTCAGTCCCGTGACCAAGCTCCGGCCTGAGCCACACGCCGGACCAGGGGGGCTGTCGGGGCCCCTCCTCCTGCACTTTACCCCCATGACTCACGATGCTCTCTCTTTCAAGCTCAGCCCCCATAGCTCGTGGGTGAAGAATCTGCCTGCACTGCAGGAGACATGGCAGACGCAGGTTCAATCCCTGGGTCGGGAAGATCCCCTGGAGGAGGAGACAGCAACCCGCTCCAGTGTTCTTCACTGGAGAATCCCATGGACAGAGGAGCCTGGCCGGCTACAGTCCAAATGGTCACAAAGAGCTGGACACAACTGAGCAACTCAGCACACACAAAACACAGAAGGTAGAGACACGCTGTCATTTCCTGTGGGTTTAAGACTCTCTGTTTATAACTTACATAATACTATATATCAACTATGCCTCATTAAAAAAGACCCCACGTTTTTCAAAGCGCTTGCATCCACGTATGCATGTTGAGGGACTGAGGACAGGACTGCCTTCTATCTGCAAAGCCTGACACAGAATTCTCCCACTGAAGGGCCACAGCTCTGCAATGTGGGGGGAGGTAGTGGAGTGAGGTCGCTATTCCACTGACGGGCAAGGAGACTGAGGCTCACAGAGGTTATCTGGCTAATACCAGTTTATACAACTAACTGGGAGCAAAGAAGGGGCTTCTGGCTCTCTCACCTACTCCTTTCCAGTCACAAGGACAAGTGACTTTAAAGAAACTGCCCCATCAGGTGCCAGGATGTGCATCCACTTGCTCAACAGCAGGCCCCATGCGTTCTCTCTGGTCCCCCCATGCCTGGCTCAGGCCTGGGACGTGGCTGGTGTCCCCTCCACGTGCTGCTGGAAGGAACGAATTGACCAACCCAGCAAACAGTACCCCACGGATTCACTGGAAACTTACAGTACCAGCAGAGATCAAGGCAACATTCTACGAGTCCGAACACAAGATGTGCGGGAGGCATGTGCCCCAGGAAGACGCTCCAAAAATCTATTCTTCAGGGGCTGGGACCACAGCCTTTTTCGTGAGACTCAGGGAGAGCTTTTGAGGGGTTTTTAGAAATGCAGTCAACGGATCAGTCTTAGAAGAAGACAAGTACACGTGAAACAGCAGAAAGGGCCCCAGAAACCATCCAGTCCATCCAGTCATTGAGGGGGGTGGGGGAATCGCACGGCATCTGCCCCCTTGTGCAGTGCCTCCCCCTTTCAGGTTAGAGGCTGTGCCCGGGTTCCTAACCTCATCTCTGTTGCTCTTTCCTCCAAACATCTCGGTTGGGCCTTTTTTCAGGCAGGTGGGGAGGAGAGAAGGGGGCATTCTAAGCCAGGGGTCAGCCCCAGGAAAGATGTAGGGTCTTGGTACAGACGAAGCATCAGGGGTGGAGAGAGACAAGGCGCTGGCCCCTTCCTTCCTCCCTGGGGAAGTGCCCGCCTCCCTCGCGGGAAGCCGGGACTGAGGGGCTGACTCTGCAGTAAGCCTTGTGACAACAGTGCCCCTTCTTGGGAAACCCTTGCTTCTTCCCTCCCGTCTTCTCTTCCTTCTCTCTAAACACTTCCGTGTGTATTTCCCCAAAACAAGGAACTTTCTTACATAACTACTGTACAATGATCAAAGTCAGAGAACAGACACAACCCTATGTCTCATCTATAGGCCTTACTGAGACGTTCTCCACTGTCCCAACAATATCTCTATAGCAAAAGAAAACCTAAGATCACATGTTGCCCTCAGTGGTCATTTTCTTTTGTCTCCAGTGATTTTGTTCCCCAGCTGGGCTTGTCTGGTGCTTCTTCCAAATAAGCTCTGGGTAAAGGACACTGGCAGGAACACTGCAGACCAGCGATGAGATCCTCCCCGTGCATCTGTCCCACCAGGAGGCATCTGCTGTCTGCTAGTCCATCCCCAGCAGTGTTCACTCTGATCATCTGGTCAAGGTGGCATCTGCCGTGGTTCTCCACTGTACAGTTACCATTGAGCCTTTTGTCATGAAAAAGTACTTTGTGGGGATGTACTCTGAGAGCACTCACATATCATGTCACCCCTCAAACCTGAATACCCCAGTTTTAATATCCATTAATGATTCTTGCCTGAACCTGATTATTATGACAGTTGGTAAGTGGTGACTTTTCTGAATCATTCCTTCTGCAATTTTCAGGTGGCCTTCTAATATACAGAGGAAGGTTCCCTCTTCCCCAGTGTATTCATTTATTTACATTACAGGGAACTCATGGATTCTCACTTTATTCAAGAGGTTATAATCCTTTGCTACTATTTATTTTGATGCCCAACTGGGCCCTGATTTGCTCAGTGGGAGCCCCATCAAGCAGGCTCTGGAGACCTTCCCACATAACCCCATCATCCTCTGAGAGCATCTTTTGGCAGGCTCATGTCCCCCCCATGCCCTGGCCCCGGAAGCAGCCACTTCTCCAAGAAGTCTTGGTTTCTTTTAGTTGTCCCATTTTTTTATGATGAAAGAAAAGAGTACACAGGTTAAAAGTCTTTGTGAAAACCCAAGTTGTTAAAAGTGCTTGCTAAACTATAAAATGCTACATGAATGTGCAATTAATACATCATTGCTTCTGCTAAAACACTGCATTTTTTATTGCCACAAACAGCACATTAGTCTTTTATGGCAACGTTCTTCACAAAAACATATTGAATGCAACTTAAAAACAGACTGAAGTTTTCTAATTTTTTACAAGCCTTTTACACAAGCTTGCACCAGCTCAGAGCTGTGAGCATATCCTAGTTAGTATTTTACTTTGAAACTTCATATCTGTACTAGCTCTGCTTCCCTCAGTTCAGCATTAGGGCAATCCTAGCCATTTAATGTCTCTCTTACCAAAAAAAGACTCACCGACCAAAATACGGTCCCTTACATAACATGAATTTGAACACATCCCAACTTATTAATTATTTTTTATCATGACACTTTCTCTTCCTATACACAGATTCACTCCCAACCCACTCCTGCTTCTATCCACCAAATCTCACATTCACTAAATTCGAGTTAAAAAAAAATTTTTTTTAATGAAATTAAAAACAAAAACCTGGAAATGAGCTGAATATGTCCTGTAAATCATTTATGGCAGCTTGGTTCAGCGCAGATGGGGTTTCTCCTCTGCCTTCTGATTAACTACTCCTTCAGGACTTAATTTTTTCTTTAAAAACAAAAAGAAAAGAAATGATGAAGACAACCAGCTTGTTTCTATAATAAGAACCTCTAGAATATAATGATAACCTATAAAGAAATTCCACCAGAAGGTAAGTGGCAGGAGGGTGGGGTGCTTTCTGCTTGGATCTCCTTGGAGCATGCACTGGAGCAGAGCTGTCAGGAGCCTGGGCTCTGGGTCACAGCCCCGTGCAGCTGCTCCACATCCATGAGCAGAGGCTCACCTTCCTGCAACCTCATTTTCCTCATGGGGTTGTTGGCAAGACTATTCCAGTCCGGCACAAAGAAAGCACGCTCTAAAATCTCCTTGAAAATGAACACTGTGAAATCAATTATAAATATAGAACATAAGTTTAAAGATGAGTAAGGGGTCTTAAACAGGAAAACAGAAATATTTTTTAAATGATCTTGATTAACTTCCTAAATTTTGTACCAGTATACAGTTTCTGTGATGGCCACAATTTGGTAGAAGATGAAAGGAGTCAAGCAAGAAAACTTAACCAAAGATAATTTGTGAAAATTCATTCTGTCTCTACCCCACGGCAGAATGGGGTGGGATGTATACAAAAGCTTCAAACACCTGGATGAAGAAAACATTTACAATTATTTACCTCACTTATGTTTGTAAGAGATTTTTTAATTGCCCCCAAACCATAAATTGGGCTTTCCTGGTGGCTCAGATGGTAAAGAATCTGCCTGCAATGCAGGAGACATGGGTTTGATCCCTGGGTCAGGAAGATCCCCTGAAGAAGGAAATGGTAACCCACTCAAGTATTGTTGCCTGGGAAATCCATGGACAGAGAAGCCTGGCGGGCTACATACAGTTCATGGCATTGCAAGAGAGTCAGATACAATTTAGTGACTAAACAACAACAAAAACCATAAATTAGCCACAGACAAAAAACCTACTCTGAAATCCCAAATTAAAAGTTAGAAGGGTTAAATTATGGTAGAGCCTTTATGATGGAATAATATGTGATTTTAAATCATACTTTTAAATACTGACATTGAAAAGAATTATAAAAATGATACAAGGGGCTAGTCAATTCATTGGGTTAAATTAAAACTAGGCTCAAACAAAAAACAAACTCAAACTATACCTGGTACAATTACAAACATGCTTATAAATACATATACAAAAATGAAAACATAAGCTATAAAACACAACAAGATATTAAACGTGGTTACCTCTGGGTGGTGGGCTTACGGATAATGTGTTTTTCTGTATTTCTGAATCTGCTACAGTGGCATTAGTTTATTATGACAGTATTCTATCAAGAGGAAGAGGTGAGGAAATGAAAGGCAAGTTTGCTTTCTGCTCCTTCTGACATAATAGGCCACACACACAAGAGCCAGAAGCAAATCACTCTGCTGGGAAACTCACTTTTTAAAGACTCAGTACACATAGCATATTTCCTCAGAACATGGAAAAAGTCAATCAATAAATTTGCTTCAGACTAATCCAGAAATATGGTTTTCCTAACACCAGAACATCAGAATAGTCCAAAGCTCCAGCCATAGAGCTTTTGAGGATAAAACCTTTCACAATGTTATATTTAGAACAGATAGAAAAGTGAATAGCATTGGGTGATAAACCTGTAGTTTCCCTTATTTTGTCTGGATTTGTACCTAGAGATGTTACATAAGTCTCTTTTTTTGAGTTACTCTGTTCCTAGACAAAAATAGAATCTTCCCCTAAGGGGCTGGAAACCTGCATGGGGCCCCCCCTTGGGCCCGGGGCCTTTCCCCGTGTAGGCTGAAACAAACACAGCCTCCCTCCTGCTGTCTGCTTTCAGCCTGTCTTCCAGATCATCTGTCACTTTAATTTCAAATTAAGACTCTTTAGAGTTGAACTCTCTCCTTTTTTCCCCCTTGATCTTAACCCTCATTCCAGTATTCATTTTTTATTACAAAAGCAGTAAATACACCAATCTGTATAAAGTTAAGAGTACCTCTATATCCTCCTCTATTCTCATTTCTGGAGATAACATCTCCCATGTATCCTGCCACACATTTAATGCATATACAAGCATCTCTTGTTTAAGCTAATAAGACCATGTTACATACACTGTTGGGCACTTTGGTTTATTTACTTCATATTGACAACTTTCAATACACACACAGACTTAGTTTCCTTTCCCCTTTTTAATGTGAATCTCAGCTCTCTGAGAGATGGCCTAGCATGGTGAGAGGAAGAGCTACTAGGAGCCTGGTGTCTACTCTTTTTATGCTTCGAAGAGTAGCTGGATAACCTCTGGGAAAGCCCTAAACCTTTGGCTGCTTCTTCATTCACAAGGAAAGGGGATAGGGATGTTGGGAGAGGAAGAAAACTTTTGTGCTTGAAGACTGAGGTTGAAGCAGGTGACCCCTGTAGTTTTAAGAGTTGTGTGATAGGCACACCCCCCAAAGATGTTCACATCCTAATTCCCAGAACCTGTGAATATGCTAGCTTCCGTGGCAAAAGGGACTTTGACGATGTGATGAAGTTAGGGATCTTGAAATGAGAAGAGTATCCTGGATCATCTGGGGCTGGGGGGGGGGGGGGTCCAATGTAATTAATTACAAGGGTTCTTACAAGAGGGAGACAAGGGGTCAAAGTCAAAGAAAGAGATGTGATGACAGAAGCAGAGTTGGAATGATGTGGAGCCACAAGCCAAGGCATGCAGGCAACCTCTAGAAGTTGGAAAGACAAGGAATGGACTCTGCCCCAAAGCCTCAGAAGGAACACAGCCCTTTTGACTGCTTTTAGACTTCTTCCCTCCAGGACTGGTAAGAGAATAAATTTGTACTGTCTTAAGCCACTGTGTTTATGGAAATTTGTACAAAAGCAACATGAAACTAATACAAGCTGTCACCTCATGGTTCTAAAATGCCTGAGAATCAAGTGAGGAAGCACCTACCCAGAAGGGAAGGTAATCAGAAGGTGATGAAGGTGATAATGGGGAGAAGCAGGAGGGGCTGGAGGAGTGAGGGGAAAGGCAGGGCAGCGGCACAGGGCCTGGGGCTGTGGAGTCTGATGTAGGCTGGCTTACCCTTAGTTCACCCAGAAGAACCACTTCCTGTAGTTAAGAGTTGGCCCAGGGTTTGACCTGGGGATGAGGGTCCAACAGTATGGATGCTGGTCTGAGGGTCAGAGGGAAGGGAATTGAAGAACTGAATCTGGAATTAAGCTCATTTTCCTCCAAGTTTATGCTCTAGTTTTGTTGTGTTGACTTTTTTGAGGCAAGAATTTGGGCAAGGCAGAGCAAACAGAAGGCTGACCAACTGCTGCAGTTTGCCCAGCAGTGAACGTCTTCCCAGAATGCAAGGCTTTCCATTTTATAAAATCGAGAGTCCCAGGTGCGCAAAGATGACTTGGTCACCTTGGCTTATGGCTTAAAGACCCTTCCCAGACCAGGACCGGGGCTACAGGGTCACCTATAACAACACCAAAACGCAAACACACACACACTCGGGAAGAGGCTGAGAGAATGGAAGTGGGAAGAGCCCAGCAATCCAAGATCAAGGAGATCTCTAAGAGAAAGACTGCAGTCAGAGGAGCTGTGCTGAGTGTTTATAAGATTCCGGGGGACTGTGATCGAGTGAGGGGCCAGTGTCTGATGAGGGTCACCCTGTGGATCCTGAAGACACCAGGGATGGGACAGGGCTTAGAGTCAAAAGAAGACTTGAGCCATGTGCCAAAGTCCTCAAGAAAGGAGGGAGGTCGGGAGACAGTAGAACAGAGGTGAGGGGAAGAGGGAGGTCAGCTGAATGCTCAGAGCCTCAGTGGAGCAAGGGTTTAACACCAGAGTGAAGAGAAGTGGTCTGGAAGCTGCAGAGGGAATAAACAGGACCCTGGCCACATGACTTCTCATCTTTTCTACTCAAAAATTCTGCCATATACAGGTGGGGATAAATCCTTCTGCTGTGGGTTCATGGTTTGACCCCGATTTCTGAGAGCCCTGCATTTTGGGCAGGACAGGGGTTCCCTGTTGAAAAGCTTCATTGTAACCACCTCTCTGCCTCAGGCAATTTACCAGATTCACAGAAAAGGCTGAAAAATATCCCAGTGGGCAGCCTGTACTGGTGAGTAAGAGAGTTTCTAGAGAATGCCCTCTGCACTGAGCACTAAGGTATTTGGTAAAACAAACAAAAAACAACAGTAAAACAAAGTGAGGCTGGGCTGGAATCCTGCAGCCTCTACTTACTAGCTGGGATCATTTGGCAAATCCTTTCACCTCTCTAAGCCTGTTTCCTCATCTGTAAAACAGACATCAGATGACCCCAAGGCACTAACACCACGCTCAGAGCATCAGCACTATTGCCTGTGGAGCACAGGAATTTGCAAACGGAAATGGCACAGACCCATCAGCCATTCCCTACTTCTCTGATAACAGAACCCAACTTTGTCTGGGGATGGCAGCCTGCCCAGCTCACTTCCTTTCTCAGCCTCCCTTGCAGTAGCCATGTGACCTGGTTCTGGCCAATGAAGTACAAAGAAAAATATGTTGGGGACAAAGGAGGTTTTTGAAAAAAACTTCTGCCTTCCTGAAAAGGGAGAAACAGAAGCTGACGTTCACATTCCCCCTTCTTCCAGTCCTGGATACAAAGGTGATGTCTGACACTATGGCAGTTATATCATAAGCACGGGGCAAACATGAGCGCCGTAAGTAGTGGAGAGAAAAGAAGCATGGGTTCCTGATGACACATTGGGCACTCGAACAAAAGCAGGCGATCGCCTACCCTGATTTTTGATAAGAGAAATAAATCCCAATTTACTTAATTACTTTGGGGATTACAGCTAACTGTAACTGAATACATTTCTAAAAGATACAGGGGCTCAGCTTGCCTATTTAAAGGTGGCCCCTACAAAGGCATAACATATTTGGGATTCAGGTCTTCTGCGTCTATCAAGAGGTTTGTCAAAGAAAGGAATCAGGTGCTACAGCACCTAGCACTAACCTTCTTTTTTCCCAAAGAGGATGCAAACAGGGTGGTACCAAAATGTCAGGAGCACAATGTTTAGGTGTGCCTGAGGGTACCTTGGGAAGGTCGGGCTCAGCAAAGAGCTGCCACCCTCAGGGCTGAGCAAGAAGCAGATAGAGCCACTTCCCCAAGCTTGGCCTTAGCCCAAGCCCTGCTAGGGATAAACCATCCGACAGAGTAAAGGGAAGCAGTCATGTCACCGGGCTATTTAATTGCTCACTCATAAAAATCACAGAGCTGGTTCTGCATTATGGTCGTGAGTAATAACGAAAATTTATTTAAGACTGCTGCTCCTCTTTAATGCCAATCACACGGCATCCAAACAAAAGCATCTGGAACAGCCTCAAATGAACTAAACGTTGGCGTTTGGTAAGCTTCTCTGCTTCCTTTCCCTAGCTCCACCCTCAGACTGGAAAAGTGAGATTTTAAATCAGAGTCTGGTTCCTTACAAAAGCAAAACTGAGAAAAGACAACAGTGATGGAGAAACTAAAATGATAACCCAAAACCCCCATAAACCAAACCGCAATCCAGGAGTTTCCCCTAGGCCGTGTCCACAAGAGCTCGGCTCGCAGCGCTCGCCTCCCCTAACAACCCCCTACACTCCGCTCGGCTTGGGAACGGCAAGAATGAGATCAGTTCGCTTCGCCCAGGCAGGTGACGACGGTAACTGGTCCCACGATCCCTCGTCAGGACAGCGGCCAGGAGCTGCTCCGCCCAGAGGCGGGGTGGCCTTCGCCAGCGGGCGGGGGACTCTCAGACGTGCTGGGAGCCCGCGAGGGTCCGGCTCGGGCCCCCTACAAGCGCATCCGGGGGATCGGGCCGCGTCTCAAGTGGCGCCGGGGCGCCGGGCCCTCATCCAGGGCGGTGGCGCGGGTCCGGCTCCGGGTCCAGGCCGCCCCACTCCATCCCGCCCTCCCCCGCCCCGCCCCGCCGGCCTCCTTCCCACCGCCCGCCTCCCGGCGCGCAGCCCCCGCCGCGGCCCGCACTCACACTCCACGTCGTGCAGCTTGGCCCGCTCCTCCTCCAGTTTGCCCTTGAGGCTCTCGGCCTCGCTCTTGAGCGACGCCAGCGTCTCGTTCTCGTGCAGCCCGTCGGCTGCCATCTTCGCGCGGGGACGCGGCGGGAGGGAAGCGGGGATGCGAGTTAGCGGGCGGCGGAGGCCGGGCCGGCTAGCGGGCGCCCAGCCGCCACCGGCGCAGCTCCAGCCNTTCCCATGCTCTTTCCACTAGCATATGGGGGATGGAAAAAAAAAAACAGAACTTTGCTTTGAAAACCACCTAAGATACTCATTTTGTTTATTACTGTGACATTGGAAGGAAAGTTATGACCAACCTACACAGCATATTAAAAAGCAGAGATATTACTTTGTCAACAAAGGTCCATCTAGTCAAGGCTATGGTTTTTCCAGTAGTCATGTATGAATGTGAGAGTTGGATTATAAAGAAAGCTGAGCGCCAAAGAATTGATTCTTTTGAACTGCGGTGTCAGAGAAGACTCTTGAGAGTCCATTGGACTGCAAGGAGATCCAACTAGTCCATCCTAAAGGAAATCAGTCTTGAATATTCATTGGAAGGACTGATGCTGAAACTCCAATACTTTGGCCATCTAATATGAAGAACCAACACATTTGAAAAGACCCTGATGCTGGGAAAGATTGAAGGCAGGAGGAGAAGGGGAGGACAGAGGATGAGATGGTTGGATGGCATCACCAACTTGATGGACCTGAGTTTGGGTAAACTCCACAGGTTGGTGATGGACAGGGAGGCCTGGTGTGCTGCAGTCCATGGGGTTACAAAGAGTCAGACACGACTGAGTGATTTAACTGAACTGAACTGATACAAAAAGTAAAACTAGTTCTGGATTCTGAAAAGCCAGAAGTCTTTGCCTGTTCTTGGTTTTGCTCTTCTCTTATTCACTAGAGAATCAAGTCCCTGTCCTGGGGGGAGCAGCCAAAGGAAGTGGTGGTGGGGTCAGGGACCCACAAGGACCCAGACTCAGGGCTTCTGAGCCCTGCTCAGTGATCTCAGACTGGTCACTTGTGATGGGTCACTCCACCTTAGAATGAAGGGTTATGGCAGTTCCCTTAAGGAAGCAAATTAGTGACTTTGTGGCAGACTCAATCATCTGCGCTTTCCAGTCCCTTTCATGCCAGGCACTGTTCCAGTGCTTTACATTAGTAACTCACAACAGTCACCCTGAATGGGCACTGTTGTCACCTCCGTTTTACAAATGAGGCACAGAAAAGTGAGATGATTTGCTTGGTTCACTCTCCCAGAAACAATCTCAGAGTTCTTAGAGCAAAATATTAAGAGCACAGGCTCTGTCTAGATCCCACTGCCTGGGGGTGAGTTCTGGTTGTGCTGTTCGGCCTTGAGTGGCTTACTCAGTTTCTCTGTGTCTCAGGCTCCTCATCTGTAAATGGGGAGAATACCTTCCTCATAGAATCCTCATAAAGAGTGACTGCATAGAGCATTCAGAGCAAAGCGTGGCACACAGCTATGTGCTCCTTGTTATTATGAAGGCTGCCTGGTAGATGTGAGCAATTAACAGGAAGTATGGGACCCTGGGGCATGGGGACACCTCTCACAAGGCCATCTCAGAAGGCCTGGGAAAAGCAGCATCCTCGTGTCACCTCTTCGGGACCTCATGGCCCACCGTGGGATACGTGTGCCTGACTCAGGGCCTATGTGTTCGTGAAGACCTGGGGTGAGTGGAGCTTCATACAGGAGTGTGCCCTCTTCTGAAGGTTCTGTGTAAAATAACCCCCAAACATCCTCCGATCTAGGGAGTTTACCATCTGGAGAGGAAGCCAAGGAATGCTTTAATGTCTGGCAAAGTTTGCAAGGGCTTCCCTCATAGCTCAGTTGGTAAAGAATCTGCGTGCAATGCAGGAGACCTCAGTTGGATTCCTGGGTCAGGAAGACCCCTGGAGAAGAGAAAGGCTACCCACTCCAGTATTCTGGCCTGGAGAATTCCATGGACTATAGTCCATGGGGTTGCAAAGAGTTGGACGTGACTTTCATTTTCAAAGTTTGCGAAGTGCCTTCCTTTACTTTGCTGTGCACTGCTTTTTTAAAGTGTAAGTCAGAAAAGTTACCTACATTTCAGCAGTGGTGGAGTTAGAGGGATGCCCCATCCATGAAAAGTACCCAATGGGGGCTGTGTCTACACAATCCCAAACACCTAGATTAAAAAGTTAGCTGTTAGTCATTTGGATGTCTCTGCAGTCAAAACAATCTGTCTGAATATTTGGGAACCTTCCAAGTGCTCGTGGTGGAGCAGGTGACAATCCTCTGAAGAACATCTCCAGGTGGGGTTCTGACCTGGGAAGAATCTGTGATGCTACAGAGGACCTGACATCTGGGGTTCTGGGCTCTTTCTGTCCACAGGGAACGTTGTTTCAAGTAGAGAAGCGCTAGATTAACACATAGTACTGCTCCAGGATGGTAGGGCCATCAGAAAGCAGGTTTAAGAACTGAATGTCCTCAGCTTGCAGTGTGCAGATCCAAGTTTAGAACAAAATGTGCTGCAGGTAGAAGCCCATCACAATGAACCTGAATCCTGTGACATCAGGATTACTGTACTGTATCAAACCCTGTGTGCCCCTTTAGGCTGTTTATTTGCCATTTGCTTTACAGGAATAATTTTTTTAAAAATGTGTTCACTGTTAGGAGTTATAATGGGACCAAAAGAATGAATACGTTTTCCCTTCAGTTGGATAAAATGTGAACGTTATCTTTCCCCACTTAGGTAAGTGTCTTGGTTTTTGTTCTCATTGTGTCCACAATGGGGATTTCCTACTGAGCCTATGGGGAAGAGTGCTTTACCACTTGTGACCAGGTGGGGGCTCCACTCAGCTGCACTGCTGAGCACAGCTTTGCAAATTGTCTGAGACAGGACTCATTCCTAGAGCCTCAGCCAGACTGTGGGCATTGCTGCTACAGGATCTGAAGCCTGTGCAAAGCCGTCTCTGGTGAAGATTGATTTGTACACTCTGAAAAGTGCCAGGTTTTTTGTTCAGTACCTACCCTGGCTGAAGGCTTAGGCCCAAGGAACAGTTTTCCTTGAGCTTGATTTTACTCATAACTGAGGCCCTATATTGGAGAAGGAAATGGCATATGCTCCAGTCTTCAACAGAGCTGTTCCTAGGCACAGCTGGCACAAAGCCTTTGGGAAGGTGCTCCCTGGCTGTTTATTTACCAGAGTCCCTTTTAGCTTGCTTGTTTGCCAAGCTGACTAGGAGAAGACGGAAAAAGCATTAGCTCTAAAAACTAATAAGCTAAAACATTTATTGAGCACTTTCTCTGCTGAGTATTATTCTAAACACTTTAAAAAATAAACTTATTCTTCCTCCTCCCCAAACCCTGAGATAGATGCCACTATTGTTGTTTTCTGATGGGAAAACAGATCTCCTGGCAGAGCAGAGATCCGCTGGCACAAGGCCCCTGAGGAACGTAACTGGGAGTTGAAACCAGGCCATCAGACACCAAAGTTCACATCCTAAACCGTCACACTGTACTGTCTCACTCAGCCTGGGTGTGATGCAAATGTTCGTGTGTGTACACTGATTCTATGGCAACCCACCAGTCACAGGACCCTCACATTAGACATTATTTAAAGACAGGTAATGACTTAAATATTTTTTTTTAAAGTGGCACTTACAATTTCTGCACATAGTGAACAGTAGTTGAGCTGTTCAGATTTCTTGAAAACTGGTCTCAGAGCCCGTTGTTTGAAGCATCTGTCACAGGAGCCAAATACGTTAACTAGAAAGGTCTGATCCATATTTTACCCCAGCTGACGCTGGAAAAGAGAGAGAGAAAAAAAGGGAGGTGTGTGTGTGAGAAAAGTTTCACAAATTAAGAAACAACCTTTAACAAGCTCTTTAGTCTTATTTCTCTGATTTCTTGGGCATTTCATAACAACTGAAAGTATTATGCAACAGTCCTAAAATTTTATAATGGTCTGCAAATTTTTACTTTCTACTGTTTGTTCATAAAGAAACTTTGTATTAGACTTTAATAAACTTTGTATTAACATGGTAGTTAGCATAGATGTAAAATTAACTTCTTGAGCTGAAAGCAGAACAGAGAGCCAGAGAGCGGAGAGTTAGATGAAGTGAGTTGTTAGACAAAGTGTGCATCACCCTCCCATGTAGCTTCTATTTTCTTTCTTTCCTTTTTTCCTCCTTTCTTTCTTGTTTTCTTGGCCATACATGTGGCATGTGGGATCTTAATACCCCAACTAGGGATCAAACCCTCACCCCCTGCATTGGAACCATGAAGTCTTAACCACTGGACCACAAGGGAATTCCTCAATACATGTTTTTGTTGACTTTTTTTTAAAAAAAAGAAAGAAAAAGAGATAGAAAAGAGGGGAAGGGATGTGTGTGTATGTATGAGAAAAGCCAATGGAAACAGCTTTTTAAAACCTCATCTTGGGACTTCCTTGGCAGTCCAGTGGTTGAAGCTCTGCTCTTCCACTGCAGGGGACTTGGGTTCAATTCCTGGTCGGGGAACTAGGACCCTGCATACCACGAGGTGTGGCAAAGAAATCAACTCACCTTCCTGTTATCATGGTAGTTGCTCAGACCTATGCAAATAAAGTCTATGCAGTTAATTTGTAACTTTCAATTTATTACAACATGCTGGGTCAACACCAGCTCATTTATTTAATCAGTAAGAAAGTATCAGACAATAGATTTTCTGAACAGACATGGACACAATTGATCTTTGCAGTACAGTATTTTAATCCTGTAGGGCCTCACAATATTATTGTTGTTTAGTCTGTAGGTCATGTCAACTCTTTTGTGACCCCATGGACTGTGGCCTGCCAGGCTCCTCTGTCATGGGATTTCCCAGGCAAGAATACTGGAGTGGGTTGTCATTAGCTCCTCCAGGGGATCTTCTCCACCCAGGGATCAAACCCATGTCTCCTGCATTGACAGGTGGATTCTTTACCACTGAGTCACCAGGGAAGCCCCTTGCAGTGGATTCTGTAATTTAAAACTTAAAAAAATTCCTCCCCTCAAGATGAAGTTTTGGAGTAAAGATTAAGAGTCAGAAAACCTGGAGCCTGACCCCAACCAAGTAAATGTGGTGTTGGTTCCCTGTAAGGAACACACCTCATTTATGAAACATTTGCCAGTCACAGATCCAGGGGTCACTGCCTGTCCACCCAGGTCACCAAAGGGAGGGCA